TCCCCTATGAACTATGGCACGCGTGTGACCCTTTGATTTTGTTAAGACGCTCATCAGGAAAAATGTCTCGAATTGTCAAGTTTTCAACTTTTTTTCAATTTTTCCCAGCTTCGTCATAGCAGACATGACTGTATTCTATTCTAAGATCAGTCATTCTTGCGCCTTGTATTCGGGATCTAAGTCATCCGCTAAACAAAGCATCATGCATGATCATATGCAAGGGCAGGCGGTAGAGGAACAACGAAGATCAAACCACATTGTACATCGGGAACTTAAACAAAGGAGGCATTCAAACGTGATCAATAAGGCATGGTTCTCAAAATACAATAAAATACTTTTCTTTTCTTGACAGAGCAATCGGCCAAGTACTTCCAAATCCCTGTCATGTACGTACTAAATGCTTAATGGGAGCAGCTTAACAAAGATTTCAGGATCAGCGTGGATACAATTAACAAATTTACGAACCTCTGTGGTATAAATCAAAATATATGAAAAATTCGCTTGACAAAGAAGCATGAAAATTGGGTTACTCGTGATTTTCATCTGAAATCCTCCGATCAATAAACCATGCTTTGGCATTTTCGTAATAATTAACAACACATGATCAAAATTTACAATCTTCCAAATAATAAACAGTGTAGCATATACTGAAAAGCCTAAACAGCAAGAACGAGAAAATACGTTTGTAAAAATCACCTACACAAAGAATATTTCAAATGTGTTCAGAATACAGTAGAAATAAGAGTACAGTAAACATTTGCGATTAAAATGTAACTAGATCCAAAAATCAACAAATTTTGTAGCACATATATTCGATATAATAAAATCAAAAACTCAGCCATAGCAGAAAATGAGTGCAACCGACGAACCTTTTCCAATTCGTTTGTGATTACATAAAGAAACAAATTTGCCATTTTCAAAGGGCATCCGACTACCCATCTATGCAGCGCTCTCTCTGCAGAAATAACTGAACTTAAAATTTGTTAATAACCGTCTAGAAGCAATTACTCTATTCTCAAATTGACCGAATACAACCGTAATCTTGTGTTATGTTGAATGTATGATTGGCAGAGATACTTCTCGACACTATGTGATGCCACAT